GCTGTCCTTGACCCTTTTCTTCCATCTATCCCTAACCTTTTCCTTCGTCTATGACTCTGACCTTTTTCTCTTCTTTTAACCCTGCTCTATCTACTTACGCCTCATATATCTACTTATTGATAAATAAATCTCCCTCCTTCTTTACTAACTTGTTGTGTTTATTTCCGTTTCCTTACTGATTCCCCCGTCTCTTTACTAACTCTGAATTTCCTTATCCACACTCTCTCCTCTCTGTGAATCCCCGTTCTGCCTTATTGACTGAAATCTTCCTTCATCGCCCTCCATCGACCTCCATCGACCTCCATCGACCTCCATCGACCTTCATCGATCCCTATCGTCCTCTGTTGTCCTCTATCTTCTTTTCAACTTACTATCTATTTCTGATACTGGCCCCTGAAATATCTAACACTGCCTCTTTGCTATGTTATGTTTGAATCCTTCCCCTGCTCCTCCGCTCCTCGTGACTTTCTATTCTACATCCCTTTTATATTTCTATCCCACCCTTCGTATTCTTCCCTTCCTTACCTTTACTAACCCTGCTCCTCTGATTATCCTCTTCCTTCCCCTTACTAACCCTATGTCCCCTCCGTCACTCTTTGCTGTCTTCTTTCTGCCCTCACTTGTTATGCGAACTTATCCTGTGTGAAAACGTTTGATACTCCGTTTGCTATTCTGCTTCCCTTCCTGTCCGTGTTAAATGTGAACTTACGAATAAATAACGTAACCTGCTATATGACTTGTTTCTCTCGCTTACCTCCTCGTCTTAACTTCTCTGTTTATTCGTCTTACTTGTTCCCTACCTCTCTCTACTTTATTTCCTCTGTTCTAAAATTCCTTCTAAATGGTGACTATGAAACCTTCCTTTATCATCCTTCATTCTCTTCCCCCTCCTCGCCATTTCTGCTAACCCTATCTTATTATGGTCTTGATCTGCGGACTCCCTTATCTTCTGACTTATTCTACATAACCTCTATTGTCTTTATCCCTTCATTTCCTGTTGAATTCCCTTTCCTCTATTACTACCTCCCTTCTCTTACACTTTCTCTTTGACCTTTTGACCTACTTTACCCCATCACTCTAACCTTTCCTTTAACCCTGATTTATTATCTAATTATGCAAATTGCAAACTACACTTCTACTCCAACCCTGAATTAATATCTTTGCTCTTCTTCCCTGCTTGATCTCTCCTTCAACCCTAAACCTCTTGCCCTCCCTCTTCTTCTCTTTTTTCTTGCTGCTCTTCTACTCCTTATTCCCTCTGTGACTTTTCTTTCTTTGACTCTCTTTTCATATTGAACTATGTGATCTCAAAATGCCTTATACTTTGAATAACTATAATAATCTTGAAATATGCATGGAAAATCATCTTATATACTGCTATTGTCCTATCGTAACGTCCTCTCTGGATTGATATTGCTTCTACTGAACCGTATGTTGAATGATGTATAAACTGATTCTGTTCTTTCTCTTCTGAATATGGCCTTACTAATGAATGAAACATCTATGTATGTCTTATATAACTGCGAACCCTTTAACTATATCCTTCTTACTATCTCCTCTCGTTTCTCTATTATACTACTCTGCTTTTGGCCATATATCGACGTTCCTTTTGCATTTCCTGAATGATTACCATTATCTTGGCTTCTGTACCCTCATTATGTTATAATTTTACGTATAACCCTAAAATATAACTATCTTTACTATATAAACCTAACTTTGGATGGCTATCTTTATATATCTTACCCTAACCTACTTATATTGCGTTCTGTATATGTGTGAATGTTCCCTCTCTTTGCTCCCTCTTTTGTATATGCCTCTGGCCTTATGCTGTTTGATGTATCGTCTGTATCTACTTGAACTATCCTGTTCTTATTTCTATGTCCTTTTTCCGTTCTCTTCTTCTTTTTATTTTGTTGTTTGTTTCTTCTTGTTTATTTTTATTTTGATACCTCATATATTTCTCTGTCCTCTTTAAAACTGTCTGGTATATATGCTTTGTTCGCTCCCTTCTCTGTGATTTGTACGAACTGAATACTATTTTACCTTGGGTAAATGCTTTGAACCTGACTATATATTGTATTGCCCTGTTATGTATGTATACCTTATTCTCTTGCTGTTTTGATTGACCTCTCTGCGCCATCCCTGACTCTTTCCCCCTATCTATCCCTAACCTTTTTATTTGTTTTTACTCCTTCTCTTTCCCTTCTGTCTGCCCCCACCTATCTCCGTTTATCTATCCCTAACCCTTTCATCGTTCTATTCCTCCCCGTTACTTACCCTATGAAAATTCCTTCTGACTGGTAACTCTGAAACCTTCCTCTGTTATCTCTTATTCTCTTCCCCCTCCTCGCTATCTCTATTGCTCCTATATTATCATGGTCTTAATCTGCTGACTCTATTGTTTTCTGATGCATTCTATATAACCTCTGTTGTCTTTATCCCTTTACTTACTGTTGAATTTGCTTTCCTCTATTATTACCTCTGTTCCCTTACCCTTTCTTTTGAACTTTTTACTTACTTTACTCTGTCACTCTACTTTTCCTTTAACCCTGAATTATCATCTAACTAATGGAATTGTAAACTGTATTTCTACTCTAACCTTAAATCAATATTTTTGCTCTTCTTACCTGCTTGATTTCTCTTTTTCTGTTGGACCACTTACCCTCCCTCTTCTTCCCTTTTTCTTCTTACTTTTGTACTCTTTATTGCCTCTATTACTTTTCTTTCTTTAACTCTCTGTTGATATTAAACCATATGGTGTTAAATTGCTTTATACTCTTACTTACCTATCCTACTACTCTAATTACATGCTATATGTTATGGTATGATGTATACTTCTTGATATATAAACTATATGGTCTTTGCTACTTATATCCCTAATATAACCTACTATTTGCTTATTCTTCCCCTAATAATGATAATAACCTTAAAATATGTATGAAAAATCATCTTTGAATTATACTGCCATTGTTCCATTGTAACGTCCTCCCTGATTTGATATTGCTTCTACTGAACCGTATGTTGAATTATGCCTAAACTGATTCTGTTCTTTCACTTCTCAATATGGCCTTACTAATGGATGAAATATCTATATATATCTTATATAAATGCGAATCCTTTCACTATATCCTTCTTACTATTTCCTCTTGTTTCTCTATCATATTAATCTGCTTCTGGTCTTATACTGACGTCCCTTTTGTATTTTCCGAATGATTATTATTATATTGGCGTCTATATGTATACCCTCATCATTATATACTTTTATTTATAACCCTATATTCTAACTATCTTTACTATATAAACCTAACTTTGGATGGCTATCTTTATATATCTTACCCTAACCTACTTATATTGCGTTCTATACATGTGTGAATGTTCTCTCTCTTTGCTCCCTCTTTTTTATATGCCTCTGGCCTCGTCCTATTTGATATATCATCTGTACCTGCTTTAAACCTCCTATCCTTACTTTATGTCTTTTTTCCTTTCTCTTCCTCCTTTTGTTTTGTTGCTTCTTTCTTCCTTTTTTTCTTCATACCTTATATACTACCCTGTCCTCTTTGAAACCATCTGGTATATATGCTTCGTTCTCGCCCTTCTCTGTGATGTATATAAACTAAATGCTATTTCACCTTGGGCAAATGCTTTGAACTTGACCATGTACTGTATTTTCCTCTTATGTATATATACCTTATTCTCCTGCTCCTTCAACTAACCTCTCTGTACTGTCCCTGGCCTTTTTCTTCTATCTGCTCTTGACCCTTTCTTCTTATCTAACCTTGGCCTTTCTTATTTCGTTTTATTCCTAACCCTTCCCCTTTTTCTGCCTACACCTATCTCTATTTATCTATCCCTAACCCTTTTATTCTTCCCTTCCTCCCCTTTACTAACCCTGCTTTTCTTGTTATTCTCTTCCTCCCCCTTGCTTGCCCTGGGTCCCCTCTATCACTCTTTGCTATCTCCTTTATCCCCTCTCTTGTTATATAAACCTTTCCTGTGTAAAAACGTCTCATACTCTGTTTTCTATTCTGCTTCCCTGCTACACTTCTCTACTCCCTGCTTTCTACCTATGTTACCCTTATATACTAACCCTACTCACCCCGCCCTCTAGCGCCTTCTGCCATGACTGACTCGTCAAACGGCACAACTTGCTTGACTGCACCCCTCCCCATTGGATCATCTGCCCTAACCACTCGTACACCTCCTTCTCGCTTGACGCCCACTCCTCTAAACCGTCCGCCCTACGCATCGCCCTCACCGTCTCCTCGTACACCCTCGACCCTACACCGATCGTCGCGACGGCGAACATCGTAACCATCAACCCTTGGTACTGGCATGAACCGCCCTCGACCTCCCTGAACCGCCCGCCGTCCTCGCCCGACGGCTCCCATCGCTGACACCAACCCTGCGGCAATCCCCAATGGAAACAACTGCTGAAATTTTCCATCATCCGTCCGTTGAACATCTCCCCCTCCTCCCCTAACTCTGAACGCTCTGCCCTGGCCTGCCACTGGCGGAACTGCCCGGCTTGCTGGCTGGTCTCGAACGCCGCCCTAATCTCTTCGTCGTCTCTGGCTCCATGTCCGTCCCCGTCGTCTGCCCACATCACCTCCGACGCCCTCTGCTGGCATATGTCGCATGCCTCTTCGCCCTCCTCGCATCCTGAACGGTCCACCCGCCCGTCCATGACCTCGTCTAACACGATCCGCCGGCATACCTCTCCCCTGATGTATGTCCTTGTTGACACCTCCCATCCCCCTCCGGCTGCCCTCCCATCTTTTTCTGCCTCCCCTGCCTCCCTCTCCTTCTCTACCTCCTTCTCTACCTCCTTCTCCTCTACGGCTGCCCTGCTACATATAACAACCGACCGGCTTGGCTGCCCATCTCGCCCGGCACGCCCGCTCTCCTGGACGAAATCCCGTAACCGCCGCGGCATGCCCGCGTGGACCACTAACCGCACGTCCGGCACGTCGATGCCTAACCCCAACGCGTTCGTCGCCACGATGACGCCCCGATTGGCGCCGTCGCACCTCCTCCACGCCTCCAACCTCGACGCCTTGTCCTCCGTGCTGCCGATGCTGCTGTGGAACGCTGCGCACCCCAACGCCTCGGCCATCCGCTCGACGCCCTCGATCGTGCTGCTGTACACCACCGCCTTGCCGCGTGGTTTCTGCCGCAACCAATCCCTGACCTCCTGGCAACCGCGCTCCTCGACGGCGCTCAACTCGCCGTCCTCACCTGTTTGACCTGACCCTGACCCTAACCCTGATCTGCCCCGGCGGCCGCGGCTTGCCGCACCACGACCACGACCCCCACCCCCTGACCCTAACGCAACGACAACAACCCCATACTCGATATTCCTCCGCGTCGTCGCCTCGCGGAACA